ATAATTGATTATAATTAAATAATTGTAGATTTTGAAAGAGTGTGACTGGCCTTTAAAATTTTACGGGCCTTAGTGGGCTTTAGTTTATTAAATATAATTAGATTAGTTATTTAAATTGACCAAACTCATTATTTATTATTTTATTTGTTTATTTTTTTATGTCTACAAGTACTACTTGTCTACAAGAATAAAAACAAAAAAGACACAATAATAGTACCACTTATCAGAAAATATATGAATCAAGAATTGAGAGATTTTTATTTTTATTTTTGGTCATGACTTTTTCTAATCTTTTAAAGCTATAGTGTTATCTTGGTAAGGAGCAGTATTCTAAAAAGTGCGCCTATGCAGAAGTGGGCGTAAAACGCCCTGCCTTGCTTTTTATTTTTATTTATTTTTCTTTTTTTCTTTTTCTTTTCGCTTAGGCACACTTTTTTTAATGCTTTTATGTTTTTTTTACGTTTTTTATTTAATTATTAAATGATTTTTAGATTTATTTAAAAATGAAAAATAATATTAAAATATGAAGACACTTTTTTACTTATAGACTCGCCTAGCTTGATGCTTGATTTCTACTTCTTACAATGCTTAACGCTTTTTTGAACATTGATAAGAAGAGATGAAAACAAATAGACACATAGTTGAATTATTCTTCATCCTTGAAGCGAATAAGTAAAGCACAATTTCTGACAATTGTAAATGCTGAAAATATTTTACATGCGATCAATCACACCAAGTCATAATAACTCAAGCATGTACTTTACATGAAAAACTTCATCGGTGTGAGGAATAAAAACTATGGGATCTTGTGCAGTCAAAACCTCCACTATCAATCAAATAATATATACACAAATTCTTCTCTAGCCGCAACTAGAGGCTACAACGTCTATTTTTTCAAGACAATGAGATTATCGGCAATATAATACGAAATAGAAAAATATACACATGGAATAGAAGCTTTATTAAGAAACCATTGACGAGATTCAAGTTTTCAAGATTTATCTTTTTGTTTTTCATCAATTTAAAATTCGGGTTTCGTTCTTCCAATTAAACTGTTTTCTTATAATTTTGTAATGCTCGACTAGAGTTTCAATTCTATGATATTGATGAACCCTTATTATAATATTTTTAATATAAATTCAATAATTTGACGCCCAATATGTTTTTATTCTTGGATGATTATTATATGATTTAATGACTTTT